CAGCCATTTGTCCGAAATGGTGTAGGGTTTCCTGCCTGAGCAGGGAGTTGGACTAGATGACCTCCAAGGTCCCTTCCAACTTTACTACTTTTATTATATTTTGAGTGAAAGTTAATATATACCACTGAATGATAAAGGAAGCCAGACACCGAGTTATTTATTAAGTACTTAATGATTGTAAAACTTGAAATTAATAAAATATTTACAAAAAAAGCAAACAGGCAATAATATGATCAACAATATCTGCTGTGGCCTTCTTTAGTCAGCCACGCCAAAACACACATTGGAATGGTACTGATTTCATTGTCTTTAAAACTCAAGAAGGGCATAAGCACCTGAAATCTCCATGCAAGTATGCCCTACAGTGGGGCGATTACTAAGGAGGCATGTTATCTGGTCCATTTCAAATAAGAGAACTCTTAACAGCATTTCCCCTCCTCATAAGCCATCCCTAGGCTCAACAGTCCTGGATAATTTGCATTCAATCTCTGCATTATTGTGAATTTTTAATATGCTATATTTCCTCACAAACCAAACCAGTTTCCTTTTTATGATGTTTATAGCCTTAAAAAAAATCTTTAAAATCATTTTTATAAGGAAAAAAAGATTAGCCAGTAGGAAAAGAGAAAGGCCACAGTTGGGAAAAAAAATAAAATTTGTTGGAAGCAACAGCCATATGGATAGTTAAACATCACCAATCAAAATGTAGGGAAAAAAAATCTTCCAATGCTAGGGAAAATCCAGACAGGTTTTTATTCTGTTGCTTGGCTTTAAAGTATTCACTCAATTATTCACTTTAAAAATTTGTTTTGCATGCATGTTTGTTCCACAATTGGCTCATTTGCTGTTTCTTTTAACATTTTCTGTCTCATTCATAATATCGGTATGCTCAATGATGTATTTTACTGATTGTCAGTGTATTGTTCATCAGGGGACAATATCAGTGGAAGAATATAAGCACTGATAACTTTTTCAAGACATCTACATGGTTCGAATTATCTGCCAGACATCTGCCTTTCTCATCTTAATCCCTTGATATTTTCCATGATCTCAAAAATGTAATTTATTTATTCCACTTGATTAATTTAGCAGTTTGCTGAATTTCCCAAGTATTTCTTCTGTTGCTCAAATTGTGGGCGAATTTTGTTTCTCCTTTTTTGATATTTTAAAAAGTATTTTTTAGGTTTTTTTTGTTTTTGTTTTTTTCCAGCAGTAATAGCTTGGTAGCATAGCTTTTTTTTTTTTTTTGGCCACTACAACCATGGGGCTGGCTCTCTAGGTTTAGTAATCCTGGTGATTCTGGGCTTATGTCATGGCAAGCAGAGCTCTGGAGAGCTGTCATCAAATTCATCCAGTATTGTTATAACTGTGGAGACCATGGTTTGCAATTCCTTGTGTTTCCCTGTCACGGCCAAGAGGTCCACTTTAAAGTTGTGGATAAATTCGGGACAGTCTTTGAAGTTAAAAAAATATTTTTAACTTTCAGCAGTAATGTTCAGTCTGTGGTTTTAGCCTCTCACAATTCCAAAAGAGCACTTGGATAGAAGAATCCTGCAAGTTGTAGGACAGCATTTTGAAACATGTATAATGGGTTTTTCTTCATTTTCAAGATCAGAATCAGATGGAATGAGGCTGGCAGTATCTAGATTATATTAAAGGACTACTGAAACATTGGCATTACATTGTTGCACTACAAATTGGCAGATGGTCCTTCAAGAAAAAGTTTTTTGCTGTGTCCCCAAGTTTTAGAAAGAAGCTCAGAAGCGTTTGAACTTAGAGTTCTTCTGGTGCCAGGTACATTAGCATTCTCAAGGTCTCTTAAAGTCCTGGTCCACAAATTCTTAAATTGTGTAATTGATTTATAGATTGGAGTGCTCTTAGACCTATTCCTTTCTTCTCTGTAAATGGATATACACACTAATGACATTACAAACATAATAAATATTAAAATTTACATTCCTCTCTAGCATGCCCTGTGAGCCTTTTAAGGTGGACCAGTTAAGAAGCAGTAACCACGGACACTAACAGTACCTTTAATGTAAGATTACAATAACAGAATCTTGCGAGTCAGAAAGTATTTCTCCCCTCCCTTACTTTTACTCTTCCCAAAACTAAGAAGGGTTCTTTCTGAAATGCTTTCACCATCCTCCCTCCTTTAGACTCAGATTTCATTTATCAGACCATTCTCTAGGTTTTAGCTCTTCCTCTGTCTCCTGAAGTCATTCTCACATACCCTTACAGTCCCTATGTATCTCTATAAGATCTTATACACTCTATAGATTTACTTGGCTCAAATTGGGGCACTGTCTATTAAGGGCAATAATTTGTTTCTTTTGGGGCTCAGAGATAGAACCTGTTTCACATGAGCCAATGGCGATCAGATTTAATACTTGGTGGTGAAGGGAAAACACTAGCCTCCTCATAAGTAAGCCATGACTCATTACTGTATGTGCCTGGCTAAGCTTCAAGGCTCCTCTGCCAAAAGAGCATGTGTGTTATTTAGGGAAGGAGGGTGGAGAAAGACAGCAGATATCAGAACACTGCCACATCCACTATCCAGACTTTTTTGTCTTTCTTATTGACAATTATTATTATTATTAATTGAGTTCTTGTTAACATTACAAAGAGACTGTGCTTGTTTTCAACCCTTGACCCAGAATGCTTAAGAACAATAACTCTGGCAAGTTTTCTACATCTTTGGAGTCCAGTGTTTGTTTGCTACTTTATTACTCATAAGTCATCTCCCTGCCTCTCTGTCTACAAGGGACTTTACCACATACTTTCAATTGTTAATAACTCTAATTACCATTGTGATTACATTGTAATTGTCAATGACCAGGGAAGCTGGGTTACCAGTCTTCAAAAATCTCTAAGAAGTTTGCATAATTCTCATCAATAGCTATACCTGTTATAAACTCTCTGGTCCCTCCCTTCTGCTACTAATTATTAGCTGCTAGTTGCTTTAGGATTTTCTTGCAATTTTAAAAGTTCTTTCTATAGTGTTATATGCTGGTCTTTTATTGTATTTGGGATTGGACTGTAATTAATTTGATTATTTGATTGAAAGTTCACATTTATATCAGAAACATTGCAGAAAAAAGTAGAGTAATAATAAATCTCTGTCAATTAAAATGAATTGATGGACCTATATAAAATAGTTATATTGATCAAAATTTCACAGAAATCTGATGCCTGTTCAGACTCAATACAGATGCAGCCAACAATGTCAATAACACCAATTTCAGTGTATTTAGACAGGTATTGTTTAGGGTTATATTCAATTCACTTGTACCAATTCAGTTTCTTGTACCAGCTCAATTGATAACAATACCAGTTCAATTTGGTTGTAAAAATCTGCTTTTGTTCTCTTGGTTTTTAAAGATAGTTTCATTACAAACTCTAATATACCCCAACCAAAAGGCCAATGATAGTAGTAATGGTTTTATAATCTTTCAAGGTTATTTTTTTTTCCTTTTGGGATTATGGTAAACTAGTGTTTATAATTTACTTTGCTGTAGCTTTCGGCAGTTTAGTTGATTGGCTGTTTACAGATCAATCATCTTTGCTCACAATAATTGAAATATTTATCTTTCATATTACTCTATTTTGATGTTTATTCAGAAGCATCACAATTAAAATAAGGCATATTATACAACATAAAATATAAAATACAAGATTAAACTATGTACAAGTTAAACAGATCTTGCCCAGAAACTAGCAACATTAATTGAGTTGTGTTGCACTGCCATGAGGTCCACAAGTCTACACTGATCAGGACACAAAGAGCAGGTGTACATATGCGTTACTCTATTGTGATATTCATACTTAGTACAAATAGGCACTTTAATCTTTGTTTTGATTTTGTCTGTTGATAGTATTCAAAGGTGTGTGCATCTTTACGTTTATGGTGTTCATATGGGGCAGGGCAAGATAATGGAGTCTATCTCTAAAGTGTCAAATTTATAAGTACAGGGCCTAACACAGCATTTCATTTAAAAAAAATAGAGTAATTCTTAATGTTTAATTTCCACACTGGTAGCAAGATGATTCCAAAATTCAATAATTGTTAATATGGATAAATTAGAAGCATAAGTGAGTAGAGTAATAGCTGGAGTTTTAAAACAGCTGCAAGGTACTGTAGAATCTGAAAATCTCAGTGGAAGCTCTTCCTGATTTTCCTCTATCTAACTTTTAAAGACACAGGGTATATGGACAACATAATGATGATGATCTTAACAAAAAAGTAGTTTTTTTAATGGGGGGAAAAAACTGTCCTTTGGATATATTCTGAATCAGGCATTTAGCACCTAAAGTCAAATCTAGGACTTGGATTGTGCTTGGAAAAGAATCAAAAGCCAGTTGTTATCTTTTACCACTGACTAAGTATATGATAATGACATGTGCTGTTGCACCAGTGAATATGATGTATAACCGTAGGAGCTATTTTGACAGGAACATGTTTTCATTTTACATTTCTGTTGTGGTTTTTTTTATGTGTGTAATACATTTAATGTACACTTTGCTGTATGTTCTTACATTCATTGTATTTGCAACTATCTAAAGTAAATGCTGTTGAAGAAAGTCATGACAGATTTCTTTTCAGGCAATAAGGTGTGAAACAGAAGTGTGAAATCCATTGTATTATAGATGAGACTATAATGCATGAAATATACATACAGTATATATATACAAATAGAATATATATATATAGAATATATGTGATAGAACGTTACAATGAAAAATATATATTTTTAATTGTGGAACAATAGAAAACCTTGAATGCACTGGTGATTGAATATATTTTCTACTGATCGGACAGATATGAATCAGCCTATTTATCCCTGTTATATATTTTCTTATTTTTCTTTTTTATTACTTTGGTAAAGCATCTGGCTTTTCATTTTATTTTATTTTTGCCTTTTCAGTAAGTTCTAACACAAAAATCAACTATTTTCTTGCCCTTGAGTTTTGATTTTACTCTCCATTTCTCTTTTTCAAAGGATCCATCTTGCTGGGAAGATGTTTTGATTCCAAACAGCATCCTTGGTGTTTGTCATTACCAAAACTGCAGTGGAGAAATAGCGGTAAGAGCTATTAACAATTTTTTCCCCCTTCCATTCAGTCATGTCCGATTCTCAGTCATTGCTTGGACAAGTCCCTGCGGTTTTCTTGGCAAGGCTTTTCAGAAGCAATTTGCCATTGCCAGCTTCCTAGGGCTGAAAGAAAGTAACTGGTCCAAGGTTATACAGCCAACTTTGGGCCTAAGACTAGAACTGACAGTCTTCTGGTTTCTAGCCTGATACCTTAACCACTACATCAGGCTGGCTCTCATTAACATATGGTGGCCATCAAGAAGCACCCTGAATCAGAAAGACTTAATTATGTATCTATTTTACCAGAATGGTTACTGATTAATGGAAACATGTTGTAGTAGGAGCATTCATGAACCATTACCTTGTAGTGAGAACCAGAGATCATAAAAGAGGGGTCATACTAAATACAATCCACCGAAGGAGGAGGTGGCAGCCTGCTTCAGTATTCCCTAAAATAAAAAAAACGACCAAGAGGATCTTGAAAAATAAGCCTTTCAGGTCAAAAGAGATCCAATAAATGCAGCGTAAGAACAAGTATGAGTACCGTTGATATTTACAATAGTCCGAATTTAAGGCAAAAAGACATCTTGCTACTGATGAGGCTGGAGGCTAAAGGAAAGTTCACAGACACAGACATACCGTACACACACACACACATACCTCTCATCCCTCATTGGTGAGCAGAATGGCTAAGCAAAATTTCATTTCCCAGGATCTGTATGTAGGCCATTCTTGTTGCTTTTCATGGATCTTGAGAGAATCAGTTATAGAATTAAGGACTTTTTCAACTAATTTACAAGAATCATTGTGCAATAAACTGTGTTATCTTTGATTGTATTTACTACATATATACCCCTGCTTTTTTCACACTATGGAATTTAAGTCCACAGCGACATATTTAGCAAACTGATTTAGCAAACTGATCACCAGACAGGATCCAGGGATTTGAAACCTGTGAAAAGCTGAAATAAATAGGAAGCCATTGTGAACCTGATTCCCAGTCTGTATATTATCACTCGTTGGAGAAAGTAATAGTTAAGATAACTTGAAAAGTAATTGTGTTTTAATATTGTTCCAAATTGGTTGGCAGAATATTATGTCCTCATATTCACAACTGGATCACTCCTCTATTTGCCAAAATACAATTAGTAATCTTTGCTCACCATACTGGTCCCTATAAAGGTTTCAAGAGCTTTTTCAATATATATTTAGAGATGCTTGTTTGTTTTATCTTACCTTTAGCTATGTTTATCTCACCTTCATGTGTTTTACCAAAAATATGATAGAAAAATAAGAAACGTCTTCAAGGCACCACACAAAAAAATAGATGCTCAATAGACATTCAGATATTGTAATAAAATCTCCCTCCCTAATAAAGTGTACACTATTCACTTATGTTACAGAATATACAATACCATTCATTATTAAAGTAAACAAAAATCAATTTCCAATTGGAAATTTTTGGAAAACCAACTTTTAAAAAATCATGTTTGATAGAATATGTAATACTCTAACACGATATAAAAACAGCATCCAGTGTGTCATTGAGAGTTAAATACTTTCCTCTTTTCCTCTCTTCCAGGACATAGTCTGAATCCTAGCCGATATTGTGGATAAGGCTAGTTAATTTGCCAGCATCTTTCCTCATAGCTTTTCAGGTTTTCTTGGAGGAAAACCTGCTCAAAATAATCCTTGATTATGGCATGTAATCCCAAATCTAATCTATGATTAAAAGTACAAATTCATCTGGATATTTGTCTGTCCTGGGAATAACCTTACAATGTTCTGATAACCAGAATCCAATTGCTATAATCTCCTGAACATGTGATACTTTTATCCTTCAGGATTTAACTACAATGTTAGTATGCCTTATAAAATCTGCTTATGTGGTAATGTAAAATATCAGTGAGGACACTAGTAAATATTTAGATTGCAATCTTAAAATAGAAAACGTGATTAGAGCTTGACTTTCCCATTAATTTATATAGATTTAGCCATTACAGATGCTATCATGTTTTTCCTAAAGCATTTTTTCTAATTTTGTTTTTGAGTGGTAGCACAATTCAACTTGCAATTTGGATTAATATCAGCCATTCAGAAACACATCAGGCTGTATATTTCTTGCTATGTGATGCATGTGGAGCCCATTTTATCCATATAATAACTGAGCCCATACATATAATAACTGAGCCTTAACAATGGTTTGGTTTAGTTTTGTTTTATTGAATAAGCCACAACGACTGTGTTTCTACATAATGCAAAACCATAAGTCAAGTAATAATGATAGCTTAATAAGATCACTGTAAGTCAGCAACAACAAAACATGCAATAGTGTAATGTGATGTATTAATCTGGACATTTAGTAACAGTATGTGTGTATGTAATATTATAGAAGTTTTCAGAAGTTTCATCATAGCAGTTTAAATCCTCATCTTGACTCTTGTCCTGATAAAGATTTTGAAATGCCTTTTAGCCAGTGGCATCCAGGGGGGTGGGAGTTGAGGTCAAAGTCAGAAAGATGGGATATGGAACATCACAAAGCAAGCTCTGCTCTTACATAGTCAATGCATGTACAGAAGAAGTGGGACTTGTATTTCAATGCTCCATCCATCCATCCATCCATCCATCCATCCAATTTTCACCCTCCCTTCCCACAGATGCTTTTTTTATAGACAAAAAGAAAGCAAAACGTTTCTCTTTCTCTTTACATGGTTCCATAAAAGGCATCTGCTAATTCATAAGACTACGTGTCTTCAGATACAATGTTCTGATGTTGGTTTGGTATAGAATTGTAGGAGCACTATACGAGGCTGCAATTTGTGACAAATTGTGATCAGTTGATCATTTTTCTTGCCATACTTAAATCGATTTCTGTATCACTTGTCTGTCATCTTTTTTTAAAAGACTGAAATCCTACCAGTGAATTCTACCAGAGAGACAACCAATTAGAAAAGGGTTCTGCATCTCTTTGACTGCTTGTGATAGCCATCAGCTGATGTCCCTATGATTATTTTTACACCTATAAAGCTATAAAAGCTCAGGCCACTAGCTGGATGTCAGTCTGAGTCATATATTGCAGTGAATAACAACTGCAGGGGCTTTTCCTGAACTGTGTTCTTGCTTTTCTTTATATAGAACCTGTAAAATGATGGAGAAATGTTATATATGCTCAGATCTGACATTCACAAAACAGGAGGATGCTACCCTGGAATTAAGGCAGTGAAATGGACATGCTATTGTTGAAGCAGTAGAGTACTACATTAAATTGTGAATTGGATTCCAGCGTTGCAAAAACCTAGTGAACTATACTGACATGCCACTAAAAGGAGTAGATTTTTCATTACTAACATAAATATTATTCTGTTTACATGGTGCATTGGTTAGAATGTAGTATTGCAGGCTAATTTGGCAGAGCCAGCAGTTCAACAGTTTGATCCTGACTGGCTCAAGGTTGACTCAGCCTTCCATCCTTCCGAGGTCGGTAAAATGAGGACCCAGATTGTTGGGGGACAATATGCTGACTCTGTAAACCGCTTAGAGGGCTGTAAAGCACTGTGAAGTAGTATATAAGTCTAAGTGCTATTGCTGTTTTTACCTTTCTTTACTTATAATGGCATGACTACATATCATGCAGTGTGAAACAGACATGCGTACACATGTACAAATTATTGATGCATCCACATGGGAAATCATCCACATGGAGAATAGTTCTTCTCATTTTTAATCCAGTGTTCATCAGACTCATAAAGTGGCATGGCTATGCAATAGCAATAGCACCTAGAATTATATCTCGCTTCACAGTGCTTTACAGCGTTCTCTAAGCAGTTTACAGAGTCAGCATATTGCCCCCCCCAACAATCTGGGTCCTCATTTTAATGACCTCGGAAGGATAGAAGGCTGAGTCAATCTTGAGCCGGAGAGAATCGAACTGCCGAACTGCTGGCAGTCAGAGAAATAGCCTGCAGTACTACACTCTAACCACTGCACCACCACGGCTCATGCAGGAATGTTAATACTTAAATAGTTTAAAAATAAGATGGCTTGTGTTATTGAATATGACTGTATGAAGTCGCAGATACAATACCTAATGTGAAACAATATATAATTCTGATTAAGCATGCAGTCCTTTGTATTTGTGTTCTAAATTAATAGGATATATTTGTGAGCAGGCATGATTTGGGACTGAGATATGATTTGTGCGACAAGACTGTAAGAACTTAAGTAGAATCAAACTACTTTTCCCTCTTTGGCAATTACGGGCACAGTGATGTAACTTATAGCTAAAATACATGTATCTTCCAAAGTAAATTTTCTACAGCCAGTTTTATTTACAGTATACCAGAACTTCATGAATATATTCTTTTTTCTTACTCTTTCATGTTGGCAAGAATATTTCTCACTGGGGGGAAATATATCTGCTCTAATTTTAAAACTCTAAAATTGTAGTGGAAAATTATTATTGAAGGCATTGTTATGCCAAAAGCAGTGTCTTAGGGTTTGTGAAGTGAGCGACTATGAAGCAAATGAAGGTTCTCTATTTCATTTTTAAGCACCAGGCAATGAAGCAGTCTCTTTTCCTTAGCCAAGTTGTGATCGGCATGAAAGGACCATTGAGAGTCTAACAAAATCAGGTTTTTGAAGAGGTGAGCAAAAAGACAGAACCTGGCCCTTGCTGAGAATCACTCTGAAGTAATTCAACCGCAGGGGACTCATCAACTCACTGGGATGCACCGAAGGATAAATCTAGCTAAGGAGATTTATCCACTTGCAGAAGTAAAATATTAGAAAAGGGGTTCAGATAAGTCAGAAAATGTTACACACTGGATATGAAGACACATGCGAATCACATTATTATCCAAACACATTCTTGATCTTGTTATTGTTTAATAGGTACATCGGAAGTACTTAGATAATCCCAGTATTTCCCAGGTGTTTCTGATTGAAGAAGTCCCTACAAAGCTCTTTAAACAAAGAGTCCTGTTATATATAAT